GCTCTGGGGGAATGCTGGTTTCTCTGCCTTCAGCAGTCTATGCAGCATATCCCCAGCCCAGGCTGCTTGTATGATTTCATATGCTCTGCCAAAACAGAAGACTCTGAGTTTACTTTTCTTCTGCCAAATTACTGTTTGTCTATTCCGTATGTTATTCCAGTGAGTGTGCTTTAGGGGAGTTCACTAGTAGTCTTAGATTTAGTGAACCCAGCAGTTTTGTGCACACATACTGGAAGCTGGGGGTTCTAATGCATGTGGGCCAAGGACCACCCTTTGAGCACCACTGGTGTCATGATTAGGAACATGTCAGTGGGGACAGACCCAGCTCTCCCTCCAGCTCTGTCAGCTGTGTGATCGTGAGCCGGGTAACTCAACTTTTCCGGCGTCTGGTTTCCTTATTTGTTGAGCAGAGGCAATACCACATCAGGATGTAGTGAGGATTAGCTAGAGATTACATGTCACTGGTCCTAATGTGAAAGTACACAGTATGTGGCAGGAGCCATAACTAATGAATCTACGCTACTCACTACCTCTCTAAAACTTCCTTCCAGAAGTCAGTCTGTAAGTCATGTGCAAATGACAGGCTAGTTTGTGCAACAGTTTTATCAGTGGTACCTGAAAGTGTCATAACCCTTTTTTTAATGGGCCTGTTACAGATCGCTCCAGCTGAAGCACCAGATGCTAAAGTAAGGATGGTGATTATCACTGGGCCACCAGAGGCTCAATTCAAGGTATGTGCTCTAGAGTGTGTGCACAGGTAACAAATAAATGGATGCAGAGAATGTTAATGCCTTCTTTTCAGGAACTCCATAACCTGGCTTCTCCCTTAAATATATCTAATACTCAATAGAAAGAATCTCTTAATGGGAATTCATAAGAAGAGTAGAGACATACCCAAAATTACATTTTAAAAATAAACCAAAGCCTCTGTTTAATTTTGAGAGCTCTGCAAATGGTTGTTGGGTTTGCCTGTCTCCCAAAGGAGAATTTGCTCAGTGCCTCATTGCCATACGTGAAGGTAAGACCTTAAGACGTGTAAATCTGTCTAGTTAACATGCCTTAGAAAACTTGTTCTCAGATTTTTTTTCTCTTGTCCAAGAGGCCTTACCCTTGCAAAATGCTCCCTTTTCTTCTGACCCTTGGATTAACTGTTAGCCCTTGTCCATAGTCTCTCTATAGATCACTCTAATCTTTTGAACTGTAGAGACGGACATGGCAGGAACTCTTGTGGCATTGCTCATGTTGGAGTTTGGGGCCTTTTGGGCTGGAGTGCCTCCCACTGTACACTGAAAGGTGGTGTGGCAGGGTGATGAAGAGCAGTGACTTGGCAGTTGCTGGTTCAAACCCCAGTGCTACCATTTACCGGTGGTGTGACCTTGGATGAGTTACGTAACTTTCCTATGGCTAGTAAAATCTGCAAAATCGGGGATTAAAGCACCCACAAAGTTTAAACAAGGTTATAAAGTTTAAACAGAATAAAAAGTGCTTAGAATAGTGCCCGACATGAGAAATACAATATAAATGTGCTGGCGGGAGTGTTGAGCAGACTCTGAGTGAATCAGCCTAGACCCTGTCAGATCATCAAATCATACACACCCTTGAGTATATGATTTCTCCCATAAAACTCAGTAAGGTGTCTTGTTTGTCATAGGTGAAAGCAGCTACTGAATTCAGTGTAACTAATTTACCCAAAGCCCTTGTCTTGTTCCTACCACTCAGCAGCCGTGTTAACAGGACAACTCCTTAACCTTAGGCTTTAGTTCCCTTGGCTCTAAAATGTGGCTAAGTAACAAGTGCCTATCTCTCACCTTTTTTTTAAACCATCACTTTCTTTGACCTCTGTTTTCCTAGGGGCCATTTTCCACTAAAAATCCAAAGCTATTTTCACTTCTTTTATGGGAAGAAAGAAAACAAAAGGAGGTACTTTGAGATGTGCGTGCAGTTGGCTAGGCTCAAGCTCAGGTGAAGAAATTCACTCCCTCATACTAAGCAGTTCAAATCAGAATCAGAAATGTTGAAAATTATTTCCTATCCCAAACTTACAGGTTCAGTCAGTGTAGTATGAAATATTAAAAAAGATAGAAATACAAATATCAATCATTGCATGTTTCTTATGCTCTTACTGCTTTTTAAATGGAATTACTATCTTGTAATTCCTTTAACACTTGTATGCTAGGGAATTGAGTTTCCCTGTATCCTTGAATGCCTGTATTGTACAGTTGTCTTAAATGGGACATTTAAGAAAAGCTGTAATGCTTAAATATCATTTATGAGATCAATGATAATTACAAATAAATTTATTTCAGAGAACTAAGGAACAGTAAACCTCCCAACACATATTTTTTCTTATAAACTGAAGAGCTGCTGTTTGTGAAGGATGATATATATCACATATCCCTAGTGTCCTTTGTGTTAATACTGTATCTGTAGCCTGTGACTTTGAGGACAAACGTAATACAGGGTACTAAAATGGATTTTTCACTCTAATCCCCTAAAATAAGCTTATCATTTCTACACCGATGAAACATGTTGGGTTCTCTAGTTTCTGTGCTTCGCCCTGGCAGCTTGTCAAATTAAAGCACTTCTGACTTCTTTTTCTTTTGGTGTATACCAGAGCAAATTAATGCTTGTACATAAGAGAAGAGGTTTCTTATGTATAACTTCTAGTTGTATGCAGCAAGTGACAGGATATGTTTGACTAATAACTATGAGGTATGTGTGTTAACTTGACTTTGTACTTAACAGTAGAAACTATCTGACTAAAATGATAAAACCTTTTAACAGAAAATGTTTCTCACTGGCCCATTTAGACATGAGCTTGGCTTCTTGCGAGCCTGGAATAGTGGGCTCTGTGGTTCTTCCCTAGTCTCTTTTACTCAAGAAAAATGTAATTACTGTCTTATTGCCATGAGAGGTTTTACCCTTTCAAGATCAGAGAGTAAGGGGCCATTTTCTATCAGATGCTGATGTATACTGCAAAGGACTATTCCAGTGGACCCGGGCCATCTTTAAAGTTAATGGACCTTTTGTGTTTCCTACATGAATGTCACTGATAGGATGTGTTCTCATCTGTAGGCTCAGGGAAGAATTTATGGAAAAATTAAAGAAGAAAACTTTGTTAGTCCTAAGGAAGAGGTGAAACTTGAAGCTCACATCAGAGTGCCATCCTTTGCTGCTGGCAGAGTTATTGGAAAAGGAGGCAAAACGGCAAGTACTTCAGCAAAACCTGTGCAGTGGTATGAAAGGGAAAGCGTTGAAAGGTACTTAGGAGTTCCAAGACCCTGAATTTTGGCTAACTTATAAAAAGCAGGACCATCTGGGCCAAGGTTTGGAGAAGACTGCCTCTTGTCCCTCCTGAGTGTTGGTGTCAGTTACTAGTGAAAGCAATGCCTCTCTTTCCGCTTTGATATTTCTAAGGGGCATATAGCATTTTTCTGTTGATATGTCAGCTTTTTATTTTTATTGTGCAAACACTTAAATGATGTGAAATTTTTAAAAATTCCATCGACCTTTCTAACTTAGACTTCTATAACTGAACAAAGCAAATTGTTTCCAGTTTCTCTTTAATACATCTAACTTCTAAATTGTTTTCAAAGCTATTTACAAACTTTTTTTTTCAAAGCTGTTTACAGTGTTGAAGTGATTGAAAGTGTACATTTAGGAATCAGACTTTCAGGGTTTGAATCTCGTTTTGTCATTAATTTGTGTAACTTTGGGCAAGTCAGTTTCTTTGACTAAGGCTTAGTTTTAATTATGTTGAAATGGGGACAGTACTGATAACCTGATAGAATTAATGAGATTTGTAAAGCAATACATTGCTCAGTATTTCTGCACATAGTAAGTGCTCAGGAAATGATAATTAACAAACAAACAAAAACCTTTGACCTGACATGATCTGTAATTACCTTTTTCAGGTGAATGAGCTCCAGAATTTGTCAAGTGCAGAAGTTGTTGTCCCTCGTGATCAGACGCCTGATGAGAATGACCAAGTGGTTGTCAAAATAACTGGTCACTTCTATGCTTGCCAGGCAAGTGGGCTCTAGTGTGATAAGCAAGCTCTTTTGCCTCTTTCTCAAATGGAAGCAATTCTCCCATGGGTGTCCCTACCCCATATAAATATTTAAGGTAGTTTGGTGCTTAACAATTTTAATCCCCTTTTTAGCAGGTGATTTCAGAGACTCTACTAAACTAAATTAATTAGTATGTATCTTTAGTCTTCAAGTAAATTTCTATTTGAAGTTGGTGAAATGGAAAAGTAGAACTTTCAGTAACTTTTGATCAGGTAGAAATTTCAAAGCTCTCTCCTTTTGCAGGTTGCTCAGAGAAAAATTCAGGAAATTCTGACTCAGGTAAAGCAGCACCAACAGCAGAAAGCTCTGCAAAGTGGACCACCTCAGTCAAGACGGAAGTGAAGGCTCAGGAAACAGCCCACCACAGAGGCAGATGCCAAACCAAAGACAGACTGCTTAACCAACAGATGGGCGCTGAACCCCTATCCAGAATCACATGCACAAGTTTTTACCTAGCCAGTTGTTTCTGAGGACCAGGCAACTTTCGAACTCCTGTCTCTGTGAGAATGTATACTTTATGCTCTCTGAAATGTATGACACCCAGCTTTAAAAAAAAAAAAATAAAGGGGGGAGGGAGGGAAAGAGAGGAGCTCTGCACTTCCCTTTTGTTGTATTCTCAGTGTAACAAGTATTCTAATTTTTCTTAATATTCCCCCCAATAAAGCCAGAAATTGGCTTAATGGTGCATTCACTAAATTCATCAAATAAAAATAGACTGCTCATAAGTCCAGTTGTTAAAATTGGATTGGAACATAATTATCGCAGAACTTAATTGTTAAGCTATTAGCATAGAAAAAATTTTCAGTTTTATTTTTATCTAAACACTAACATGAATAACCTAAGGGAAGTGCTGAATGGTGTTGGCAGGGGTATTAAACGTGCATTTTTACTCAACTACCTCAGGTATTCAGTAATGCAATGAAAGCGAAATTTTTTTTTTGAAAATTTTATATACTTTATAAAGAGAAGTCCAACTGTTTTTTAAAAAATAAACTTTAATTAGCTAACAGGCAAGTAACTAAAAATTTTTACTTCTGGCTGGTTGACAATAAAGCTGGAAACTTAATTTAAGGTTTTTTGAGGCTTTTGACAGTTATTAGTTGGAAAATCCAATAAATGTTCAAAGATAGGAAGCAGTGCCTATATTTGGAGAGCAGCAATACCGTGTATTTTTGTTTATGGTAGGTAAGTTTTTGATGGTACTAACAGAGTAAAGTGGTTGCAAGAGGTTTTGGAACAGCTAGTTTTAAATGGCTTCAGGCGACTTCAGTTTTTTTGTTTGGCTACGTGACTGAATGCATAAATGCTTTGTGCTTTTGACTATCACTACCTAAAGAAAGTGTATCAAAGAAGAGATGCAGCCCCTGTGGACTTTAAACCGATTGGCAAGAAGAAAGCTTTAGCTTGCCTTACAGGATGTTTAGCTTGCCAATACACTTCAGACCAGTTGGTCTTCGCTTTGAGCAGACCTCAAAAGAGTTGCTTTGTGAAGACCAACTGGGCAGTCAGATGGTGTGACAGTGTTCAAAGGCAATAAAAAGGCTACATCTCCATGTGCCAGGCACTGTCATGAGCCTCACTAAGCTATGTGGAAGACTTTTAAGCAATGATAAACCAAGGAAAATGAAAGGCTACCTAAAATGCAGCAGGATTTCTGTATTCTCTGCAACCAGTCATTTGAAAATAAGTCAAAAGGTAGAAAAATACAAGAAAACAATTTTTGGAATATAATTTGAATGACTGTGATAAAACATTTGATCTTTGATACTAAACTCATTTGCCCATTCCTTAACTTGATAGCATAGCCTGGTATGTACAATTATGTGGGTGTGGGTGGTCTACAAGGCCACACAGCTCTCAGAATTGTTTCTGTGTTGCTTTTGTTCATTAAATAATCACAGTCATCATATTATACTGATCTGAAGGGTATATAATAATCCTTTAAAAATCATTTGCCTCATTCGTATTTCAAGATGAATTTCTACACAGACTAAGTAAGTTTTTCTGAGGATCACCCTATCAGTTAGACATTTTGAAAATGACTTGAAATGTTTTTCTAAATGTTTTCAGAAAACCAGTTTATTTTGTAGTTTTAGCCAAAAAGTGCCCTTTTTGTCACTGAATTCATATAGCATTCATAATTTTTTTTCATACAACGAATTGCTAAAAAAATTAATAATGGACTGGCTTTCTGGTTGGATTTCAGGTGAAATGTGCTTAAGGCCAGAGATCTTCCTCAGTATTTGATTTTTCCAACTTTTTTTCTTAATACAGATAGGTGCTACATTTATATCTGCCTGTTGAAATTCTGTCATATTTCACTTCTAGCCTTCTAGTGTGGCAAATCATGTTTTACTTTCAATTAAGCATTGGTAATGGAGTATCTGGTAATACTAGGGAATAATTCTGTAATTGTTTTGTACTCACCGAATATGGATCATTCCTCATCTGTAATGTGCCCCAAATACAGCTTCATTTTCCAGATACCTTGATGCAGAATAAAGTGTTTCATCATTAGGTGCAGCTTGGTGTTTAGTTCTACTTTTGGTTTTTCAAATAAATGTTAAATGTCCTGAATTTGGTCAAACTGTAAACTTAGATTTTTAGTAATACTATGTTGATCTTAAGGTAGACATCAATATGTCCTAGTGTACTTACTGTGAACCTTGATAATATTGCATATGAACTAAGAACTGTAGGTTTTAAGTAACAGGACCAGTGTGAGGTGGTTATTTTCTGCTTTATTTTTAAAATTTTTGGCTGATGCATTCTACAGAATAAGAGTTCCACTTGAACTCTGAGTAGAGAGCGCAGGTGAAGCACAGAGGCCAACACTATCACCAGGAAATCCTACTGGGACCTCAGGAATAAAGAAAATATGTTAATTCTAGTTTGAAGGTACTGATCTCTTGGTGTGAGAACTAGCTCCTCTACCTACAATTTCCACATGTCTATAGGCACTCATATTAACAAGACTTGTTTTGACAACAGCCTAACCAACCTAGGTGGGGTTTAAAGTGACTCAATCCAACTCTGAAATGACTATAAAGCAGTTCATATCATCTTATTCACACTTGAACTCCACAGGAGTCAGGGATGAAGTGTCATCTTCTATTCCAAGAATGAAGTCTTCAGGTAATGTCTCAGGTGCTATCTGAGCTAACTGGTCATCATAAGAACGTAGGGTCCATAATTTCTCTAATTCATAGGTTTCTCTGGTTTCTGGAAGCATCAAATGAATCACCATGCTGCCTATCAAGGACAGATAAAGAGTTATAATCAAGAAGCTTATCCTTATGATCTCACACACCTCTCTGACAATTAGAATAATGGTTTTCAACTGGGGAGATTTTTTATTTTTATACCTGCAACATCCTACCAGTGCATGGGATATTCCTCCCCATCTGAATTACCTGGCCCAAAATGTTAACAGTGACAAGGCTGAGAAACCCTGACTTTTACAGCCTTGGCAGAAAAAGTGTCTTAACACCAAAGCAAATGCAGGTTTGCTTCCTGCCCATCATCAAAAATGTGGACCCCCCCTAATCTTGGAGTTCTTCTGTTAGGACTTTGTGTGCAAGTGTCATCTGGACCTGTGTTGCTCAAGGAACCTGGTACAAAAATGCTGCTTGCTGCTTCTACTGCTGAGTAACAAAGTGTGCTTCACCTAACCCTGGAATAGTCTTGGGTAACTTACCAATATCCACCAAACTGACTAACTTAATAGCTTACAAGTAAGAGAAAAAAATCTCAGACCTTTAACAGTTCTTGACAGTTACTGTTTTCCCCTTTGTAGTAAGTGTCTTATGGGGAAATATTTTTAAACTATGTATATATTAATACCCAAAATAACAGTCCTCTGTTCTTGTCCTTGCCTGTGCCTAGAATGCCCTTCACCTTTTCTGAGTTCTTTAAGACCAAGGTTATGTATAACCCAAGGTGCCTTCTACTACCATTAAAGGATTTCTCCCACCTCTACCATGTTAGCCATCCTGTTCTCCACCTTTATGGCTAGTTAGATACACAAATCAGGTCAGGTGAGGATTTCACATGTGAGTAAGACCACCTGGGTTATAATTAAATAAAAATTGTTTTAAATAAATTTCAAAATTTTTACATGGAAAAACACTAAGATTTTGATCCCTTTATAATTGAAAATAGTTCAAGATGTACAATATCAAATATTTTATCTGAAGAGTGTGCCAAAACTACTTACCAAAGTCCACACAGAGCCAGTCATCAGTGTCCTTCCCTTCAATCTTAACGTGAGGCTCACTTTTACATTTCAGGTATTTGTACTGAAAAAACCCAAGTCATACATTAAAGGCAGAGAAGATGGGGGAAATCTGTTCTTACAGGTCTGGGGGTATTTCTGTTGCTCTTAATTTGGGACCTAGCTTATTCATTCCTCACAGCTATACCATGCCCTTTAGTCAGTAACACAGGGAAACTATTTGCCCCTTAAATCCTACCCATCTCCTACTCCTCTCTCCTGAATCCTCCTGCCCAAACCCTTCTGAGGGGCCACCTCACTCATTCACCAAGGTGTCTGAGGCAGACAGGCCTAAGCTCACTCAATACCTGGTTCTCACCTACATCATCCTTTCTGTCCATCCTAGCTTCCCTTCACTCTCAGCAGAGCCAGACGCTACCTTCCTGTTTTAAGGCTAGGTATTCTCAGTTCTAATTTCATCTTATCTACCTTTTTGACAGTGAGAGATTTTATCATCTCAAGTCTCTGTTCCCAGCAGATTCCATAAATGGTCTAAAACAGGTACACTATTAGAAAAAAGGCCAAGTAAAATACTATTACAAGAGAGAAAGACATTATATAATGATAAAAGAGTCAACTAACCAAGATGACCTAACAATTATAAATGTGCACCAAAAATCAGAGCTCCTAAACATGTGAAACAAACACTGATAATGTTAAGGGGAGAAATAGATGACAACACACTAATATAGGAAATTCAATATTCCATTTTCATTAATGGGTAGAACAGTAAGAAGACCAATATGGAAACAGAACTTTGAACACTACAGACCAACTGGACCTAAACAGACATTAACAAAACATTCTACCCAACAAGAGCAGAATACAATTTTACCTCAAGTGCACATGGTACATTCTTCAGGATATATCATATATTAGGCCACAAAACAAGTCTTAAATTTTAAAAGATTGGACTCATATAAAGTATATTATCTGATCGCAATGAACTAGAAATCAACAAAGAAAAACAGAAAATCCACAAATATATGGAAATCAAACAATTATTAGCTTAAACAACTGGTCAAAGAAATCATAAGAGAAATTAGAAATTATCTTGAGACAAGTGTACTTACAGGATGCAGTGAGAGCAGTGCTAAGAAAATTTATAGCTACATATGCTTACATGGAAAGTTCCCTAATCAACGTTAATTTACACCTTAAAGAACTAGGAAATGAACAAATTAAACTTAAAACTGGCAGAAAGAAAAAAAAATCAGAGAAAAAAAGACAAAAATCAATGAAACGAAGGTTTAGTTTTTCAAAAAGGTCAACAAAATAGACAAAAAAAACCCCCAGAAAATCCAAATAACTAAAATCAGAAATAAGTGAGGAGATATTAGAGAAATAAAAAGGATTGTAAGTACTATGAAAAACTACACAAGAAATTGGAAAACCCAGATTAAATGGACAAATCCCTAGAAACACAACCTACCAAGATTGAATCATGCATAAATAGGAAGCATAAATAGGCCTATTCAGTAATAGTAACAGAATTGAGTCAGTAATCAAAAACTTCGCAACACAATTATATCTCAAAAGAAGGTGGGGGTGGGGGGTGGTGGTACATAGGAAGAAAAAAAAACCCTCCCAACAAAGAAAAGCCCTGGGCCACACAGCTTCACTGGTAATTTCTACTAAATATTTAAATATAAGCTGACACAAATTTTTCTCAAACTCTTCCAAAAAACTGAAGGAAAGAATACTTCCTAACTTATTCTATCAGAGTAGCATGGCCTGATACCAAGGCCAAAGACACTACAAGACAAGACAAACTACAGGCCAATAACCTTGATGAATACTGATACAAAAAGCCTCAATGAAATACTAGCAAATCAAATTCAACACCACATTGAAAGAATTATATACCACAACCACACAGAATTTATTCCTGGAAGGTAAGGATGGTTCCACATGAAAATCAATCAGTGTAATAAATCACATTAACAAAATGAAGAACAAAAACCACAGGATCATCTCAAATTTATGCAGAAAAAGCATGTGACAGAATTCAACACCCTTTCATGATTAAAAAATAATAATAATAATAAAAACTCAAGATAATAAAGGCTGTATATGAAAAGCCCACAGCTATAACCTATTATACTCAATAGCAAGACAAAGTTTTCCCTCTAAGACCAGGAATGAGACAGGAATGCCCACTTTTGCCAATTCTATTCAACATAATACTCAAATTCCAGCCACAGCAATTAGAGCAAGGGAAAAAAAGAAAAAAGAAAAGAGAAAGGTAACTAAACTGCAAAGGAAGAAATAAAATTATCTCCGTTTGCAGATGACATGATTTTATATGTAGAAAACCCAAAACACCTGTTAGAACTAGTAAACGAATTCAGTAAAGCTGTAGGATATTAAGTCAACAACCCCAAATCAGTTGTGTTTCTATACACTTAATAAGCAATGTGAAAAAGAAATTGAGAACAATTCCATTTACAATAGAATAAAAAATAAAATACTTAGAATTAAATGTAACTATGGAAGCAAGACTTGTACAATGAAAACTACAAAATTTGGCTAAAGAAATGAAAGAAGACAACAATAAATAGACTGTAACTGGAAGACGACAGCATTGTTAAAATGTCAGTACTACCCAAAGCTACCTACAGATTCAATACAATCAATCCCTATCCAAATTCCAGTAACTTTTTTTGTAGAAATAGACAACTCTACCCTAAAACTTATATGTAATCTAAAGAGACCCCCAAATAGCCAAAAACAATCTTGAAAAGAGAGCACAGTTGGACAGTTGGAGATCTCAAATTTCCTGATTTGATAACTTACCACAAACCTACAGTAATCAAAACAGTGATCAAAACTGACTTATAGACCGATGGAATAAAATAAAAAGCCCCCATGGTCAAACAACTTTTCAACAAGTTTGTCAAATCATTCAGTAGGGGAAGGAAGACTTTTCAAAACACAGAGCTGGGAAAAAATGATTATCTTCATAAACGAGAATAAAGTTGGAGCCTTATCTCACACCATCTACGAAAGCTAACCCAAAGTGTACCAAAGACCAAAACATTAGACCTAAATCTATGAAATATAAAACTCTTAGAAGAAAACACAGTGGAAAAGCTTCATGACATTGGATTTGGCAATTTCTTGGATATGAGACCACAGGCAACAACAAAATAAAATTTCGTGCATCAAAGGACACTAACAGAGTAAAAAAGGCAACCTACAGAATGGAAGAAAACATTTGCAAATCACGTATTTGATATGAGATTGATCTCGAATATACACAGCACTACTAAATTTCACAATAAAAAACCAACCTGATTAGAACATGGGCAAAGGACTTGAATAGGCATTTCTCCCAAGATACACAAATGGCCAATAAGTATTTGAAAAGATGCGGTCAAGATGACAGAGTGGTAGGACCATGAGCTTGCCTCTCCTGTGATTACAATGAAACCACAACTGAATGCTAAACAACCATCAAAAAAAGACTGGAACCTAGCAAAAAGATCTTCTGCAAATGGAAACATAAAGAGGGAACCACAGCAGGATGGTAGGAGGAATGTGCTCATGATATAATTGGGCCCCATACCCCCCGGGGTGGGCGACCCACAAACTGAAGATTTGTTAAGTCGCAGAGGCCCTCCTAAAGGAGTGAGAGCTCTAAGCCCCAAGTCAGGCTCCCAGCTTGGGTCCCAGCACTGGGAAAAAGAGCCCCCAAGACATCTGGTTTTGAAGGCCAGAGGGGCTTGGCTCTGGGAGCCTCATGAGACTGGGGGAAATGGAGACTCTATTCGCTTGAGAAACGTACACGGAAACTCACATGCACCAGGTCCAAGGACGGAGGTAGTGATTTCACAGGAACCTGGGCCAGACCTTCCTGCTGGATTTGGAGGGTCTCCTGGGAACGTGGGGGACAGCTGTGGCTCACTCAGGGGACATAAAAGCTGGTGGCAGGCTTTCCAGGGGTCTTTATCTACATGAACTTTCCTGGAGGCTAACAGCTTGATTGGATCATTAGCACCAAGACCTAGCCCCACCCAACAGCCTGCAGGGAAGCCTCAGGTAAACAACATACAGGGTGGGAACACAGCCACACCCATCATCAGACTTCCTAAACCACAAAGGCCTCTAGACACAGCACTACCCACCAGAGGTCCAGGACCAAGCTTCACCCAGCAGTGGGCAGGCACTGGCTCCTCCTGCCAGGAAACCTGCATAAACCTCTAGTCCAGCCTCACCCACCAGGGGCAGATACTAGAAATAAGAAAACAATAATCCCAAAACCTGTGGAAGGAATTCACAAACACATAGAAAGACAGACAATATGAGGCGGCAAAGGAATATCTCCCAGGCCAAGGCACAAGATAAAATCCCAGAAGAAGAAATAAGTGATGAGGAGATAGGTAATTTATCTGAGAAAGAGTTTAAAGTAATGATGGCCAAGAACTCAAGAGAAGTATAGATGCACAGAGTGAAGTTTTTAGCAAAGAGTTGGAAAATATAAAGAATACCCAAAGAAGAAGAATAAAATCACTGAAATGAACAATACACTAGAAGGAACCAAGAATAGGCTAAATGAGGCAGAAGAACGGATCCGTGAGATAGAAGACAAGATTAGTGGAAATCACTACTTCAGAACAGAAAAAAGAAAAAATAATAAAAAGGAATGAGGATAGTCTAACATGAAGCGCTCTAATATTTGCATTACAGGGGTCCCAGAAAGAGAAGAGAGAAAGGACTTGAGAAAATTTTTGGAGAGATAATAACCGAAAACTTCCCTAACTTGGGAAAGGAAACAGTCACCCAA